CAGACATCATACCTCATTCGACTATAGTACTAAGTACAGTGCCAGAAACAAAACAGACACCAAAAAAAAAAAAAAAAAAAATTAGGGAGGATAGATCAGCCCCTTGATATATCGATTCTCCTTATCACTGTATATTTGCAACAAGAGTGGCTGCAAAGTACGGGGTAGAAGAGGGGGAATTAACGGCCATTTTCTAAACTTCATGCAATTTTTTTTGCTGAAAAATTTCATCTTCAAACATTAAAGGTGTCTATGGTTCAAATAGCATTCCTCCACCCAGCCCTGCATTTAAAATAAATAGAAATGAAAAAAAATCATAGAAAAAATTCTGAACCTAGAAAGAAAGAAAATTTAGAAACAGTCGCTGAAGCAAAAGGATCTCTTTACTCGGGGTACTCAGAAGGAAAAAAACCATGCAATTCATTCCTTTTCCTGTGGGACATATAGTCAACTATGTAAAATGGATTTCATTAGTTTTACTCTATCAAAGTATCCATCTAAAAGTAAGACAGACAACCCTAGAGAAGCTATAACTTTCTGATCTTGCAGTGAAGGCAGAGAAGTGGGCAGTACCTTGCCTGTGGCACAAGATGAGGGGCTTTGCTCTTCCCAGTGAAGAGGGTATACGAGTTGGGGAGACAGGGAGGAGGGATGTGTCCCCTGCAACTATACTTTCAAACTTAAAAGAGAGGGGTCACAATCACATTTAACTTGAGTTAATTATTTTTCTTACCTAATTATTTTATTAAAAATACCTGGATTATCTACCTATGCCGACTAATAATGGACAACTCTGTAAAGCGATCTTGCAACAAAGCAAAAACAAACAAACCAAAAAAACTAGGCTACAACTAACATTCACTTTATTCAATTTTGTTCTCTCAAGTTAGAAGGCAACAAACAACCACATAAAAAAGGGAGCATTTTAGAATATATACACATAAAATCAGTCTGGGTATCTAAGGTGTTTGCTTTAATAGAAAACTGACGTCCCAAATAACTAAGTGTTCTATTTAGCTTCTACAACGGATATTCCAAGGCCTTAGTCATTACATTTTCATTTAAGGTACTATGTTACCTTCATGACTACAAAATGAGGCACTCATACAAAATAGACAGGAATGAAAACATATACACTGTCTTATCTTTATGTTATATTAATGCCAAAGATATTGTTAGGGATTATTTAAAAGAAGCCCTTACTCATGATGGCTATTTAAAAAAATGACACAGGGCAGTAATAGACCAAAAAGAAAACATCTGATTGAGAGGGCAAATTAAATAGATAAACAGACAGCTAAACCAAGGAAGTTAGAGAATCTCCACAAATGAGGCTTTTAATAATACTTTAGTGGTAAGACATTTTAGTTTTGTTTTTTCTTGATGACTGAATAATTAACATTCTAAAGGACTATTTTAAACATCATCTTTTAGTTTTACAATGTAAAAAACTTTTCACAGTTAAGTAGAGAGCTTATTCAATCCTAAAAATGAAAGTAAGTAACTAACTTGCAAAGTTTTAAAAAGTGCCAGTGTTCTTATAATGGCACTACATTCTGTGTGCGCGCACGAGCGCATGCACGCACGCATGTGTGCAAACACAGTACAATCTATATTGTACTGCGACATCTACAATGTCCAGTGTTTTTTGTTTTGTTTTAAAAAGTCATCATCAATTCAACCTAAATCCAAGAATTACACTTTAATAGCATTTTGCCAATATAGAAATGATACATCTAGGATCAAATAATTTGAGGGAAAATTATTCTCTATTACTTGAATAAGGGAGAGAAAAAACACAAGACAAGAATCCACAGTAATAACAGTTGTATTAAACGCTGAAATAAAAATTACTTTTTGTTTACATCTGGAATTGAGATGTCCCATCTCCATCGTTTCCCCAGAGAACTAACAGGAAAAAAATCACCTAAAAATGTAGAGCTTTTTTAAGGCTACCTACACACAAACTTCACATTGGCATTTTTCTTCAGTTTTCATCTCAACTATTATATTTAATACTTTAAAAATCAAACATAATTTGCTAATAATGAACAACTGCACACTTCATACTATGACCATTTGATAACTGGTCACATAAAACTAAGCCCAAATGTTGATTTGTCTTCAATTTATAAACAGTAAAAACAAAGCGAAAGGTCTTCTTTCCTAATAAATTTCCTTGAAGATTGTTTTACCCAAATGTAAAATGAAGCAAAACTACACTATGATTTTCTTTTTTAAGTCTTTGTGAAGAAGGGCAGCAATACTAGCACTTTTTGAACTATGGGTTTTAAATATTTAAAAGACTACTGGTTAGTAGTAAAACCTGGATGCTACCAAAGCAAATATTATGCCAGAAAATGCCTTCCTTATGAAAGTATTTATCTTATTGAAAATAACAGGACAAAGTTCAACTGAAAAACTAGGGGAGAATTCTTAAGACAATATAAATTATCTGCTAGTGAAATGGAGGGCAATTTTTTGGCCATTCACACTGGGTTTTTTCTTCCTCACAAAATATCTGGTAAGATTCATAAAATTCTGTAAGATTAAGAGTTTTTAAACCTTTTGTAGTATCAGCCTAGATCCCTGTTAAAACAGATGTGTTCCAATGACTTTATATCACGATCTACAAATTCTTTCAAAAATTAAAAGAAACCTAAATTAATATATGTCCAATTCAATATTTTTCCTCCCAAAGAGAATAATGTATATAGATACACACCATGAAAGGTGGCATTACATTTTAAAATGCTCCTAATTTTTTACAGTAGGACTAAATTTCTGAGTAGAGGTAGGGCTAGCAAAGACCTTACTTCAAATACAGCAGAAAAGGTGCCAAATAGTGTTAACACTGAATCCTATGTCAAGCATTTTTTTTTTTGATACTG